ATGGAGGCGAACAGCGGCAGAGTTCACGACATCGTCAGCCAGCTCACAGCGCAGCAAATCGAGCAGGCAGCCAGAGCCGGCCAATCTCGCCTCTCCAGAAACCCTGAACAAACCAGATCGTTTCCGCGCCAACCCTCTCTCGACAGTGTGCATTCGGAAGCGTCGAAGACATCGTCTTTGCATTCGGATAAGAGCATATACGGCCAGACTGCCGCTTACGGCGCCTGCCTCGTGGAGCTGCAGTCGAAGAAGCTCAGCAGCCCTTCCATACAGAAGAAACTCGGCGAGCCAGGCAAGGAGCGCACAGGCTCCGTAAAGAAAGTTAACTTCGCCGATGATCTGCCGACATGCTCCGAGGGGAAGAAAACCAAAAAGATCTCTTTCAATCTCAAAGAACCCTCGCCTTCTTCACCTAGAAAGCCGCTGCCGCCGAAACGCAACGAAAGCACGCGACTCTCATCTCCCAAGAAACTTATAGATTCTAACAGCAACCCTCCCAAAGAGTTTCTCAAAGATCTCCAGCGAGTGATGAGGAAAAAGTGGCAGGTCGCACAGAAATGTAAACTGGAGCCAGCGACTACACCCCACGAAGTTTTGGGCTTCAGAGAGTACCCGTTATCGGAAGACTATAAAGAGACCAGCGTCTCGATGTGGGTGCAGGAGCACTACGGTTCTGTTGAGGAACCCTTCTACGAGAACATGTACGACCGCGAGGCGCTGCCGCGTGAGGAACCGAAGCCGGTCAAGAAGCGGCCGCCACCCGCACCGCCGCGCCGAAGCGACTCCACACACCTCTCGACGCACACGATCTCCTCGGCCCAGCCGACTGTTTGAATTAACTAAGTGCTGATAAGTAAGTGATGTTATTTAGTGACTAGATAGACTTCCAAAGACTTTGTATCGTATTACTGTTATTATTAGTGGCAATTCGCATTGTCCCTTGATTTGCGCGTCCGCATTGTGTCAAGCGCACGGACGGGACAGACAGAAGGCAGCAAACAGAGGCAAGGAAGACCTCTTTCGGCTTTATTTAATGCTCAGTTGAATTCTAACAATTCAGTTTTGAAAGGGTGTGAACAGACGCAGAACACAGTTCTGTGGCGTGTTCGGAATGCGACCAAATCGTGTGTTACTTATCGACGGGTAGTTAAGTGAGTACGGCGTGGAATAACATAAATGGCGGTGCTACTAAGGAAATGTATACTAAAGAACGTAGGATTGTTTTGGTGGGTCCACTGGCTGCGGAAGTTGCTCGAGCATTTATATTATTCGAACATTCTATATGCATTTTCTTTAATTATAAATAAGCTAATCAAAATTAGTGCGTGCTTTATAGTTGATGAGTAAATCTAAGTCGTTAGTGGACCTTATGGATGGGTTTTAAAATGAGTTGGATTTTGTCAATTTTATATTACGTTCCTAGTTGAATATTAGCTGAGATGTAAAAGCACTAGTTGTTAACATTTGAAAAAGAAAAATAAAATCTCTATAGGAGTAAAGTATTGCATGCTTGCTCAATTCTGACATGATTATTAATATTGTTCATATATTTATCAAAATGCAATCATTTTCACAAGCCTTTCCATTTGCAAGCTTATAGATCTATAATTATGTGCTTTAAATTAATTAACATTACTTTTTAGTCAAATATATAACATGTATTGTAATTATAAATTAGAAAAAAAAAATACTTTTAGTATAAAATTTACAAAGCAATGCAAGCATTTATTTTAATGGAGATAAATAAAATTATTAATTTTTTTATCTAACATTTTTTAACCAGACGAGGCAGCTTAGAGGCTAAAAATATGATTATTAAACTTTGTAGGAGTAAATGGCTGAAGATTTATGTATTTATGCATTTGGATATTATTTTTCTTTTTCAATATAATATGAAACAAGATCAATGCTGTTTATTTGTATGGGGCAACATTTTCATTATAGTTAATGTAGGAATATATATGTGTCGTAATATATTAGTATGTTAGTAAGTGTATAGTTACAATTATATTCATAGCACATGCTTCTAGTATGTTCTATAAGTAATGTAGTACATTCTTTTGAAGATATTTTGTTTTTTCCCGATATTATGAGTTACAGAATGTATTAAAAAAATGTTTTATAATGTACTTAATTGCTGGAGTGTTTAACTGATAAGAAATTCGATTATTTTATGTGCCATTTAGACAGTGTAAATTATAGTTAAAGTGAAATAAGTAGGCTTTAAATATATCCAATTTTTTTTTACAATCTAAACCCATAGACATAGTTACTCCATTTTCTTTATGAGATCTACAACAGAATGTACTTCATTGTGAAACACTGTACAGATAAGATTGTGTACTAAGAACGGAGTATCAACATTTGTATAGAATGGGCCGTTTTGTTTCCGTTGGCTCACTTTGTCTATGAACACCATGCAATCTTGGTGTATACAACTTTAACTACATACATTCGATCTTCCATACATAATTCCATTCCATTTTTTGAATTGTGTCAAATCATAGTCTACGGATGAGTTGTATGTTTTTACACTAACTGTAGGGTAATCAACCTTCCATATTTTGTAAAATACATAATATTATTAATGTAACTTTTTAATAAACAAACTACACTAATAACTACACTGTTCAGTGTCCGAATGTATAGTTTCTAAATGACGATAATAAATGTGATTTTTTTATTACAATGCCTAAACTTTGATATAATCTCTTACATAAATGATCCATCCGAGCTAAAGACTAATTTTAATAGGCTTCAAAATTTTTTTATACATTTCTATGAAGAATAAATGTAATATAAACATCAAACTGCCATGTATTCAAATTCATAAATATTGCTGCATCAATATTAATAATGCCTGATTTACTGTAACCATAGGTTTCTACTGTCATTCCTCTCTTAAAAACAGTGTTAGGGAATCGCCGGCTTCTCCAGTGCAATACTAAGAACACACAGAAGACTGATCTCAAGCAGTAAATGCGCGTTTTCTCTGATGAGTATACATGTCGGAGGCCAAAACCTTTTCAAATTTCTATCCTTTTCTTATAAGCATAGCATTTATTTTTATTTATAGATTCTGTGTGTCTCCCTTCTATGTCCATTTAGGCAGGCAATGCATTGAAAATTTTTGATGTCTATAAGCTTCTCTATTTTAGCAAAATTAAAAAATTGCTTGTGTTCCCATTTTATGTAAATCAACATGACAATGTATTTTATACACTTGTTATGGCAGTGAAAACCTATGGTATGAGATGTTTGAATCTTAACTTCAAGTGTAAATTTATCTAGAAAGATGGGAATATATAATGTATTTTGTGGTGTGGTTGTATGTAAATGTCTACACACTCTCTGGCTAATTTTAAAACAATCAAAGTGGTGTAAAAGTACAACAAAATACACTTTTGGTTGTTTACTTTGATACTTAATACTATAACTTGATGAAACACTTTGAGTTGCAATGATTTTACATCATTGGCTAATTACTTAACAGCAGTGTTTGTGTAAGGCCTTTACAATTTCAAATATTTACCATGCCAGCAGTTTTCCATATGGAAGCAAAGAAATAACTTAAACCACCTAATGAATAGCTTAACAATGATAAGTCCTAGACCGGTGACCACTATCACCCTAAGAAAACAAATATTAAGTTACATTAAGTGATTTTTGTTGTGAACTTTTTATATTGCAGTGATAAATAAATGTACATCATTAGTACAAAACATTATCTATATTACACAGTTGTAATGTAGTTGTTAAGTCAAAACCTTAATTAATTTTAAATATTTTGTATTCTCCATGTGTTTTGGTGGTTGGTTGCCGGTATAGGATAAAATGAATAATAATAAAAATGTAAACCTGTCCAGTACTGTGTGTTTATATAAAAATAAAATAATCGTAATTTATATGGTTTTATTAAATCCTATTATAAGGGATAGGCGAGTTCTTATGACAAATACAACAAAACACTATGGAATATTAAAGAACTCTAAGGACAACACTCTCTCAAACTATTGGAAAACTCTCTAATAATGAAAAAAATTATCAAAAGTCACTTGATTTGATTTAATCATAAATCTCACAGCAACAATATGTGCCAGTACCTTGACTACTCGGGTGGCGCCATTTACCGGAAAAAATTCAATTCCTCTTAAACAGCATTTATTTGTAGAGAAACATATTCATAACAATAGGCATATTATGAAGTAAATTTCTAGAGAGAGATATATATAGTGCTTTTAAATAAGACCTGTTTACTCCATTGATTTCAAAGTTTGTTATGAGAAGGCTTTCTAAGAATATTGGCTGATAACCTATTTATTACTTATTATAAAAGCGAATATTTTGATAGATGGATGGATGTTTGTAAGAAGGTATCTTCAGAAAGGCTGCATGGATCTCTCTGAAATTTGGCATACATGTAGAAAATAGTCACATTAGGAACACATTGGCTACTAATTAAGCTTGTTTTAAAGCAGTGCGGGCGACAGATAGTACTATACTAATAAAAACTCAAATAAAATATATACTAATACATAATTTAACTTGACTTTGACATGTATTGTGTTTTGCTTTGACTACTGAAATTGTCACCTTGTCACATCGACGTGAAAAGTCTAAATATTATTTTTCTGGCAACCTTGCAACAATTATTACAAATTGTGACTGTGGAATATTATTTCAAAAACTCAATCTAGTATTCATTAATTTTGTTTCAGATTTATTTAAAAAAATTGACTTGAATGAAAAATTGAATGTCTGCGTCTGAACACCTAATTTTTGTGGTGGCAATCCTAGGCGTAAAACATGTTTCTATAAACTTTAGTAACACGCAAAGAGCTTGTAAAATTGTGCAATTTTCCAACAACTATTAAAATCAATTTATCTTTAAAAAAAGATAATAAATAATTAAATTTTTAGTCTGGTGTTCAGTGATGTCACTTATTTTGGTCGGAAGTCTCGTTACCAACACAACGCAACTAGTACAGTATAAATTGATTGTCAAACGAGCTGTCGGAATCCATTTGCAACGATCGAAGAGCAGTGAACATCGAGGAGAGGTCGTGGAGGAATTTACCATCTAGCCACCATCGCCGTTTCGCCAATTACACCATGGCTGATACCGAAAAGGCGCCGCAGCAGCAACCCCAACAACAACAACAGCAGCCGCAGCAGCAACAAGACCAGCAAACTCAACCGCTACCGGCTAAAGCCGCTAAACAAAAGCAGGTCATTGGTAAGTGCTACCGCCATCTTATCGTGGCCCGTCAATCGCTTACTAAAAGCACATGGTCACTGAAAAGGGAGGCATTATTTTCGGCAATACTTTTTCTATTTTTAGCGGTTTCTGCGAAATAAACAATGTGTAAATATATTCATTGAAGAGTATTGAGTTTTGCGACGCGATGCATTATTGATTGTAATGCCGGTTGGTTGATGCATCCCCACCTAGAACTCGGGCGGCGGGCCGCCGGCTTCACTCGACACAGCCTATCACTACATAGCTTAATAATTAACGACTAATACATGTTTCAAATTGCAATGCGACAAAACAATTATTGAGTGCTAATTGACTTAAAAGAAATTACAATTTTGCCATGATCCTTGTATAAAAGTCGACTCGATGTTTTGCGTGACGCGGGAAGTTTTTGGGTCGTGTTGCAATTTAAAGCTGTTTTCGTCTCAGTGTGCTTTGCTATTTTGTATTGCTCCGAAGCAACGTTCTCGGGAAAAAAATAGTTCACCTGGTTTTTTTCTCTATTCGATAGCTCTGACCTGGAAACGGTTGCGTTGGTTTATTTTTATCATTATTTATATTTTTTGTAACTTTTCGCTATATAAAATCATAGCGAGAAAATTTCTTTATGAATTTATCGATCGATTTTGTAAATTCCTTTGTAATAAGACCCGGCCGGATCTAAACTATTGAACACATTCGCGGTGTAGAAAAGTGCGGCAAATAATTTGTTGTAGGGTGCGAGAGAGAGACGACAACAATGGAGGAGCACTGATATAAGATAGCATCATGTTAATGTTATTGGATATTTTATTTTCTTTGTTGTTTTCTTAAACCTAAGTGTTTATTAGCTATAAGAATCTAATAAGAAAATTTATATTTTGATTTCTGACTCCCGTTTACCTTAGTCACATAATCAATAAACTTTGAAGGACGTTTTAATATCGACATTTATCTAGGTCCTTTTTATTTCAATATTTGTTTGATTTAGTTGTATTTATGTTCTAATCTGATGCATTCTCTCAAGCCAGCTTTCCCGCAACAATCATTAGTTGCCGCGTTTTTCTAATTCGTGAATATTTTTTGCACTACGTTCAGCTACACTTAAACGTTTAATTAGTATGCAATAATAAGTGACCATAGATCTAAAATTATGACTTCCAGTCATACTTATAAATTTATGGTAAAAAAAATTTTTCTTGAAACGATGATCGATTAAAGATACGAGCCCATTGGCCCGCGCCGGACGCACCGCACGCACGGATAAAACGGATTTCCTTGTCTTGATGTGATGCAGCACTGTAAAATCATATAAAGCAAACTAAATTCCTTGCGTGCCGTGCGTGCGGTGCGTGCGGCGTGCCCCAATGGACTCGTACCTTTAAGCAGTGGTCTCAGAAAAGCCTTAATCATAGCTTTCAGTCATCATGGAACATTTCCTTAACCATCGTTTTATTTTTCAGAACTACCATCATACCATTTCAATCGAAACCTATTTTACATCATCATCACAAAGATCATTTGAATATTCTCGAATTGCCTAATGTTTTGTCATTAATCATCAAATCTAATCGTAAAGGTACTGTTTACGAACTATTTGGCACGTCCACGCTAAATTACATTTTCATGATAACGCCATTTTGGTTTTCATTCATAACTATGTTTAATTTTTTTTAAACATTTCATCCTTATTTACAAAGCCGCAGGCTGGATTAGTATCTATATATTATCTTGTAAGTAATTTGTAAATATTGTTTATATGAATGTTTTTTATGTTCTTCAGTGTACGCTTACGCCGAAGAATTGTTGATATAAACATTTTACATGTCAAATAATACCGATTTTAACACGCACAATGTAATAGTGTTAAAATTGGACTATTCCTTAGCCTTGCGGTTAGAGTTCCTACCAAAGGAGACACAGTCGAAACTATTTATACATAAATATATGCAATACTGTAGACCATGATAGCTATGTTTTATGGCGTGGTAAACAATTGCGTACAATGACCCGACTGTATTTGATTTTCGATTCGATAAGCGTCGTAATCGCAAGATTGCGAACGATTTGCTTAACAAAGAGGTTCGAATATCCTTTGTTGTTGACTTTGTTTGTTCTTTGAATGTCTAAACTTGTTATGGCTCATGTTTACAGCCAGATTTATTCTCAGTTAAAAAGAAAACTTTTCTAGACTTTATGTAATCAAGATAGTGTTGAAACATCTACTCAATAAAAATGGAGGAGTATCGTGCTGACCATATCTTTTTTTGTACACATCACAAGTTTCATTAGTTTTGCTTTTTTACCATAACATTATTTAATCAGCCAGTAAGAAATCATCTTAATTTTTTTATTTAGTTATTTTTATCATACTTCTAGTGTTTTAGAAATATTTCGCTTCTTAGTGAAATCGATTAAGACATAGTATAAAACTTTAACCGCTTGGCTTCGGAGTACGTATATGATCATCATTTTGACATCTGCTGCTACTCATGGCTTGCGCTTTTTTGTTTATTTCATGTATTAATGGAGCATTTATACACCGTGGGATTCCACTGCCGGTATCTACAGATAAAATGTTTGGGCGGTGGACATCCACGGTTGCTATCGCAATATTAATGTTGGTTTTTTTCTTGACAGCTGAGAAGGTTTCGGGCACCGTTAAATGGTTTAACGTGAAGAGTGGATATGGTTTCATCAACAGGTAATTTTTTTTTATTAGATATCTACAATTTTTTTAAAATCTTTTCCAATTAATTGAGAAAGTTTTTGCTAAATTTACTTAGTCGACTGTTTGAAGTTAAAGTAGTTTTATACGTTAAAATTTAATAAGGCAATGAATTATTCAAAATTATTAAATAGTTAACTTTCTACATTACAATTGTCCATGAATACACGTTGCAGTTCTGGAGTGTGATAAAAATAAGTAAAATATAATATATTGACTGCTCGTAATATCGGACGCGTTGCTGCGCAGTAGGTATTGTCTTACGTCACCACAAAGATCGATTCCTACAAATAGTCGGAGAAACGAAACGTGCAAAATACTATTATTATATATATACCTAGTTTTCAGCATTAACTTGATGTTAAAAAAATCAATTCTTCGTGCTAATAAATTGCGAAGTTGCCGCTTCGCACTGGGTGTTACCAAGATTGTGCGATGTTGCCGCTCTTACCTCGCTTTTTAGTCGATATTTTTGTTTTGTTTTGAGAGTTGCAGGATTTATAGTTGGTCTAAAGGTCTCCTTTTATCGATTTTGCGAAATCGCTGTCTTATTACAAACCAGTTATTATATGACAAAATAGGTATTTTGCGTTTCAATTTGAAGGATTAATATTCCAAATGGGAACGCGTGTCGTGTCTCCCTACCGCCCCTGACAAATGACGTCACTGCTCCGCCCTCACCCTACGTGCCTGTAATTATATGGGCGGTGGCGGCCGCCTGGCGGTCTCCTTGCACGCACAAACTATTCACACAAGATGGTGTAGTAGTTATGCTACAATATATCTTTCTTTATCCAAACGATAAATAACAATATGCTATCTGATTATATTAATTTGCGTTTGCAGTTTTATTAGTGTTCAATTGACAAATGTATTTGACGCATTATGCCAATACTTGGTTACTTTACCTTACAATATAAAGGGATGACATAGTAAAATGTTTTTCAATAATTAGGTTATATTGTTGGACAATTGTATCAAGCGTGTTGGTGTTAGATAATGTAATGTGATGTGATGCAGGAATGACACGAAGGAGGATGTGTTTGTGCATCAAACGGCGATCGCCCGGAACAACCCGCGCAAGGCTGTGCGCTCGGTGGGCGACGGTGAGGCGGTGGAGTTTGCCGTGGTCGCCGGGGAGAAAGGCTTCGAGGCCGCAGGAGTGACCGGCCCCGGTGGCGAGCCGGTCAAGGGCTCGCCCTATGCAGCTGACAAACGACGCGGCTTTCCCCGCCAGTCAGTATATGTTTTTGTATACTAATTGAAATTTAAACTTAAAAATACAAACTTGTTGAGTTGTTAGCTGTAGCTATACATATTTAAACAGATATTACCCTCGCCAAAGCGGCGGACGCGGCGGTGAGGGCGCTCCACGCAGGGGAGGCATGGGACGCCGCGGGCCCCCAAGCGGCCAGGGCGGCCCAGGCGGCCCGGGTGGCGCGCAGGGGGATGAGGGTCAGGACGGGGGGGCACCACCGCAGAGGAGGTGAGTCATGCGTGCGTTCTACAACTGCTACAGGTTCTTTGATGAATCCAAAGTATTAAGGTAGCCATATTGCGCGCAGCTATTTCCGACGCAACTTCCGCGGCGGACGTCGTGGTGCCGGCGCGCCGGGTCCCATGAACCGCGGCGGCTACCGTCGCGTACGGCCGCGCAGCTTCCAGTCGGGCGCACCGCGAATGGACGCGAACGCCGGGGCGGCGGCGGCGGCAGCTGCGGCGGCCCCCGCTCCGCCGGCAGCCGCCCCTGCCGCTGCTGCTGCTACTGCTACTCCTACTGCTGCGTCGGGGGCCGCCGAACAAGCCAAGCCGAAGCCGAAGCCGCAGGCGACGATCGCCGCCGCTACCACCAACGAGAGCCAGGCCTGAGAGGCGGCGCGGCGCACGGCACGCCCGCGTAGTGCCGGCCTACCGGCTCGCGTGCCTAGCCCTTCAAAGTATTGTCCGTGTACCACTCTGTGTTTCGTTCGGTCGGTATCATCTCCGGTTCTTATCTTCTAGCAAATCGTCTTGGGGGTGAACAACTGCATAATATCATGGATCAAAGATGTGATATTTTTATTATTGAAAATGGTTATATATTGTATTGTTTTGAAGTTGTAGCCAAACTATTTTCTGTTTGTATACCACCGGTGCGGAGGCGGCGAGGGCGCCCGGGCGCGGCCTACTCCTGCGGCCCGCGCCCGCGCGCCCCCTCCGCCGCCCCGTCGCACCCCGCCGCATCCCGCCCCGAATTATAACATGATGCATATTGCATCAGTCACGGCACCAGCAATATCGGCCTACAGCCATCGACAATACTTTTGAAGATTCTTTGATCACTTGTCAGACTGAGATGTAATGATGTAAGGAAAATCGTACCCCTGTCTAAATCGCTCAGCTCTCTGGACGCAACTGTCAAGACGCCCTGTCTGATGCAATATTTATGGATTATGAAATGTTAGTAGTATTTTCTTGGCCCAAATTTTTGTGTTATTATTTTTCAGTTGTAGTATAATTTATTTATATATATTATATTTATAACTATATTTAAATGAACTATAATGCAAATATTTTGTTAAAGATGTTGTTGTTTTATGAGTTGTGAGGCTGAGTGCAGGCGGCGCCACTTGCCCTGCGGTGGTATACTCGAGTCGAAATTTACTAAAGTTAAAGGAAACTTTGTGCAATTAATATAAAATACTATATACTCTAGAAGATTGTTGAGAAATGATATGCAGGTCCGTAGCCCCACAGTAATTTTGTATTTTAAATAATAAGACTTTAATTTTAATAATTTTGTAACTTGCAATTAATGATTTACTTGAGTTTATAAATTAAACTATCGATTTGCAATACTTACTTTTATATATTGTTTAGAATGAAACGAAGCCAATGATGTACGGTGTACTAAACTAAATTATTTTCAAATTTACATCTATATGTTTTTTAATATTAAAAAGAGAATTATAATTTTTTTTATAAATTCAAACTTTTTTAGGGATTCTTTGATAATCAATGATTTGTGAACATCTTTATGCACTTTCGATTTGCAATATCTAAATTTACAAATGATGTAACTACGAACATCTGACTTTTACCTGTGAAAATTGAAATAAAATGATTTTACCTGTGTGAAAATTGTGACTTAATAATGACCTTAACCCGCCCGCTGTGAGCAGACAAAATGCAATTGTCTGGTGACCTTGGAAATATAAAGAGCAAACCAGTCTGTGCGCGAGCGCGCATTGAGAATACAAAAACTTTAGTTTCCAGCCGCACCTCTGGACGTATTCGTCATCGTCTCGTGCATTTACATGCAGCATCTGATTGACCGTGGATTTCTGACGCAAGACGCAAATACCTGTTTAAAACTAAAAATGGCTGGATTGTTTATGTTAGTGGACCAGATGAACTGATACTGAAGTTGTGACCAATAAAAAATTACTATTGCATATCCTGTTAAACATATCTAAAATATAAAGAGATAAAATATGAGAGAAATCATGCAAATTGTTGATTACCTATACATAAATGTTTTCATAACACTTGCTCTTATTTTGTTCAATACAGATAGTGCCCATTTTCGTAGAATCAATGTAGCAAAAAAGATAAATCAATAAAGAGCATCGAACAATCTAGACTAGGAACTGTGATCAAAGTAATTAATCATTTAATTCTTCAACCATCGGATATTTACAGGGGGACACTTCCATTACTTATTAAAGGCTACTGCAAATGCCGACGTCTATGTGCATCGGTCTCTTTGCTTTTTCGGCAAATTAAGATTGCCGCTAACAACATAATTAACGCCCCTAACCACTCTGGGTTCCCACGCAAACTAAAGTAATAGCCTATGTGTTCTTCCAGACTATGTTCAGACAGACAGACTAACATCTATGCCAAATTTCAGCGAAATCTAATCGGCCTTTCTGGAGATGCCTTCTAACAAACGTCTATCCTTAGATTGGCATTTATAATACTAGAAAGGTTAAGATAAAAAACTGATTACTACAAAAACTACGATTGGAACTATTTGCTAGAGTCTTTTGTCAAAATACAGTTATTCGATTGCCAACTTGATAGAGCGCTAACCTCAACTTTTGCATGAGTCATTTCAATGGAGCGTAAGTATACCGAATAATTGAGTCGCACTTGTTCATTGAAATAACCTCAAAATGTCCTTACAAAAGTAACACGTATTTACAAATCTTAACTATAGAATACAAAGTTGTTAACAGCTGTAAAATGAAATAGGTAAAGATTTACTTTTGTAAAAATTATTCTTACAATGTATGATGTAAATATATTGCGATTCTCTAGATCGACTGTGACGTCATACTGTTATAGTCAAAAGTTTTGGGCCGCCGTGTCTGCACATTCAAAAGGCCACTGTTCTCATTTAGAAATACGAGTTAAATGGCTTGAGTTTATTAAATCACATGCACTTCAGTCCTAGGCGTCGTTAGGAAGACCTAGAGTGCAGTTCCCCCTCCCCCGGGAGAATTGAAAAGACGCTGTCGCCCGCGACTCCGTCTGCGCGGAATTAATTAATAGCCTATGTGTTTCAGGCTATGTTCTACATAGATGTCAAAACATAGCGAGATCCATGCAGCCGTTCTGGAGATAACTTCTAACAAACATCAATCTATCTAAACATTCGCACTTATAATATTTATTAGTGACATTTTAATATACGAGGATGCTATAATTTCTATAATTCGACATAGATAACTCAAAAACTACATGTTGATAAGCGAAGATTTGCTTTGGAATAGAAAATATATACTTCTAGTTCCCCAGGACCCAGCCTTACATCATCGGCTGGCGATGACCTTGACTTTAGCATTTCGCTTATCTTTAGTTGGACCGCGAGTTAAATATAATATCGAACGTTGTTTTTATCATTTAAATGTAACCATAACATACAAAATCGCTCGTGGAATTTCACAGAGTTTAATGTTGGGGCTATTGTTATTATTCATATTTAACATTAAATGATATAAGGAAACATCGAATGCAGATCATGATTTTTAATTAAAAAACTGCTAATTTGACTAGCGATAAAGTTGAACATGCGGTGAGAAGAAATAATAATAAAAATTCTTGCAACTTAGTATATTTATTTAAAATAGAATGCTTACAATAATTAGCTATAATATTACACATACATTTCACTTAAATCAACATTTCTTGGCCGTATTTATATGTAACAACACATCATCGTAACAATACTATTAAATAATAAAATATATTATCTTAATTTCAGACACATCTTATATATTTATATTCCAATCTTATTGTATAAAGAATGGAGGTATAAAAACTTAAATCAATTTGCTCATACATTTTTGGCTCATTAAAAATTTTGATAACACCGAGGCAAATAAATTTTTAAATATATAGTTTTACGGATACATTATCAGAGCTATTTCAGTAGTCTTAATTAAACGCTCTGTTCCTTCGATTTGATCACGAGTAACTGAGGGCTGGTAATTGACAAAAAGCTTCATCTTTTTTATATCTAGTAGCAAATTTTATATATTAGACATTAATTTTCACACTTCACCTCGGCATATAGACTACTGGTAGGTTGAATGTATAGCAAGAGGATTGGGTACAGAAGAAAAAGAAAAACTATAAGCTAAAATTTCAACTTCTAGGGTGGTATTGGATTAGTCAACAAGTTAACACTCCAGCACCATGTATGGCCGTTTTTATTTGGCAGAATATTAACAAAAAAATTAATTTTACTTGTAGGATTCTAATAATCTACATAAAATATAACTCTCAAATCGGATCACAGATTTATATGATTTATAGACATATAGAAATTAGTAAGTATTTTTAAATGTGAAATAAAAATTCAAAATAACAATGAAAAAATATTAGCAATAAATAATATATGAAACATTAATAAAATACAAAATATAACACAATATATTATTATAAACACATAAATTATCTACATACAGTGATATTCTGTGTCGATTTATATATCATCAGTGCATGGAATGACAGATAGAAACCAAGGTATAAGCATTTATTACTGATGGTCGATGAATTGTCAAAACTTACCAATATTATTTACACAAATCATTATGAAAACTATCCCTGTCTTTACTTTCATCTCGCGTTATTATATTATCTATGTCTTGTGTCTCGTTTTTAATTATAAGAGAGTCAACGTATCCATGAATATTGTGAAAAATTATAGTCATCAAACAAATTATTGTCTTCAATGTATATCAATGTAAATTAATTTTAAAACTTTTAATGAAGAGATGAGCTATGATTGTATGAAATGTGTGATTCATGTCTGTGTTTAGGCGAAGTTAAATGTATAGGATTTGTAGATATGTTAATTATTGTCTTTAGTTTCAACGTCTAATATTATATAATAGGATGAAAAGCCGAGATCGACAATGTACACGAGCGTCCTCTCTCTGCTTACCCCTGTCACATATATCACAAATGCCACACCGCACTACAATCTGTAACATACTGACACTATTGTAAATTATCAACACATCATGACCAATACTATGAACCGATTGCAATTTCTACTCTAATTTATTCTAAATGATAAAACTTTATATAATAATTGTCAACAATTACGAATGGAAAAATAACTGTTGATTGTATGTCTAGTGCAGGTAGTGCGGGCAACATTCGTACAAGGCACGTAAACTGGACAAAGTGTTCGTGTGCAGCCACAGTACGGCGCAGAGGTCGGGCTCGCAGGCGCGCGGCCGCGCCCACCCGGACCACCGCCGATGTCAAAACCCGTCACCCTCTCCTCCGCCTTGTGCCTGCGTCCCCGCATCCCCCTGGCTCCCCTCCGCCGTGCCGGCGCAGCTACCCTCGCCTGAGCAGTTATTGTGCAGTGTTTCGACGCGGCTCTCGTCGTTCACGAACTTGTCTTTGGTAACGTGGAGGTCGGGGGAGTCAGGGGAGTCGCTGTCAGTGCACGGCTCTGCTGCCTCCTCGCCCGCCAGCGATAGCTCGAACTGCGCCACCAATTGGCTCAGCACGCTCTTGAGGTGGTCGAAGGTGTGTGCGTGCGCCGGCGCGCCGGGCGGCTGCAGCAGCGCCTCGCACGCGCCCTCCGCACAACTCTCCAGGCGCTTCAGCGACTCCAGCTCGCCCACGGACACCACCATCTCGGGATCAGACTCCATTTGCGCCAGTAGATAATTTCCCTCCAGCGAGAAGAGGAAGACGGTCGGGATTTGTATGTCGTCGATGCCGTCCCCGGACATGGCGAAGAGTGCGGTGGAGCCGTATGAGGTACCGTCGACGTTGTCGAGCAGGATGGCGAGGCGTGCGCCGGCGGCTTGCAGGTTTCGCGCCTTCTGCGCGAAGGTGCACTGTCCGCGGTGCGCCACGGCCATCTTGCCAGCGAGTGCGGCCGCGTTGTCTGGAGGCGAGCATGCGTCAGGCGGGTGGGCGAGTGCGGGCACGCCGTGCACCCGCTCGCCGCCCGTCAGCTGCCGGCCGAAGTGTGCAGGCCCAGCAGCCAGCACGCGCTCGCCCACCGCCACGCCCGCCGCCACCACGCCGTTCTCCGTGTCGCTAAGCGTGTTCCACTTGGACATCTCGCGCATGAATGTCAGACCCTCCGACGCTTCCTTTGATGATTTTGCCTGGTGTTTACAAAACAATTTATGTTATTATTTTACTTGACAAAACATAAGACCATTTTAGGCGTACTATAAATGACGTATATTTGTATATATTAAGGTGTCAATAGTTACCGTGGCGACGGTGTAGAGCAGCTGTACGCGGCCGTCGGGCAGTGTAAGCACGGAGATGCCCATGTCGGCGAGGGCGAGCAGCTGGCGCGGGTCGGTGAGGGGTCGAGGGCGCGCGGGGGGCCGGCCTGCACCGCCCAGCAGAGTGCGCAGCGGCCGACGCACGCTCGACGCCTCCAGCGACCACGTGCTCGGACACGTCCTGCATCACAAGCAACACGCAACGACAACAATAGTGCATACTCTTCATCGATTGGAAGAAACAATAACAACGACGTATATACAAATATTTCATACTTTGTGTATTTGTCCTCGTGTGGCTGATCAATGTTGAGGGCGAGGGAGGAGTTGAGTCCGTCTGTGGCGAGGGAGAGAGGCAGGAAGTGCGCCTCTGTTGTGAGCACGTAGTCCTCGAGGTGGACCGGCAGGTCGCGCTCTTCGCCGAACAGCATGTACAGGTACTTGAAGGTCTCTGCGAGCACGAAGGAGTCCATGCGGTCCTCATGGGCACGCGTGCGCACGTCGTTGACGGCCGCATACCCGCAAGGCACGCGCGTGTGCTGCTGCAGCGCGCGCAGCACGCTCTTGCCCACGTGGAGGTAGTGATCGTCCCCGGTCGCACGGTGCAGGAAGTACGTCGACTCCAAAAACTCCGGACGCAAAGGATGTTGGCCCCAATGCACCTACAGTTATATCTATGCTTACTACATTGCCAAATACAATTGTCTTGATTCTTTACTAACTGTTGGATTCTGAGATCATAATCGCTGTACCTATAATGCACATCGTCATCTTTGTTATCTTTGACAAAACAAAGATAACAAGGTGTTGTGAAGTGTAACTTTTAAAAAGTGTCAAAATATATATACTGTAAATAACACATTTCTGTATTTGATAAGTATCTGACCTGCAGGTCCGATGTGAATGCTTCAGGTATGAAGGTGTGGCGCTGCATGACCTGGTAGAGCATCTCGTGCGTCTCTACAGCGGGGCGCACGTCTCCCAGCAGCACCTGCAGCCCCGGCCAGAACGCCAGCAGCGCGTCCATGAAGTTGCGCGATTGTAGGTGGGGCCTGACACAAGAACATTACCAGTTACCATCATGCAACAAACTAAACTAACTCATTTCATAATTTTTGTAAGCAGGGGAACATTAAATTCCATACATACGAGTATTACATGCACTTTTTTATGTATTTTTACCCAAAACATTTAGTAATTATCAAACACTAGCGGTCGCCAGCGACTCCGTTCGCTCGGAATTAAAAAAATAACAAATAGCCTATGTGTTCTTGCAGACTATGTCCTATATGTATACCAAATTTCATTGAGGTCCGTTCAGTCGTTCTAGTGATACCTTCTAACAAACATCCATCCAACCATGGAAACATTCGCATTTATAATATTAGATACTGTAATAAGAAACGGCAACTAGTGTTAAGTTGCAGTGTACCTGTGCATATGCACGGCGAGCATCACTGGAGGTCTGCTGATGTACTTCATGACAGCGTTGTAGTGACGTGTGAAGCGCGCCAGGTACTTCTCATCACCCAGCAATATGTACGCCTTGAGGCAGTACTCGTAGTACGAGTCAATACCGGCACCTACACCAGAGTCCTTGCGTACCCAGTCTCCGGAGTGGATGTTGATCACTGTACCCATCAGGTCTGATGTCCTATATAAATAAATATATAAGGGTAATATTTCATTTATATTATCTTATAAATATATAAGTCGCACTTTGTGCATTTATCACCAGCTGACGCCCGAGACTTCGTCCACGCACAATGAAAAAAGTAAACTATATAAGTAGCCTATGTGTTCTCAATTTCATTAAAATCCATTGGGCTGTTTCGGACATACCTACAAACAAACATCCATCAATCTAAACATACGCATTTATATTATTAAGAAAGTTTTACAGCATAATTTTAAAACAATCGGTCAAATGAAAATCTAATATTTAAATTACTTACTCTTTCAAGGATGCGTTTCGCGTAATATTAATTCCACGTTATAAATACCTGTGTCTGATCATCCAGAGTCTATCCATGGCCCGGTGCGCCTTCTGCTCGAAGATTGGGTCACCGGTGAGACGGGAGAGTGCCGCCATCTCCAGGATCATGGTGCCCGCGCAAGCCGTACACGTCTCCCTAGACTCCGAGAGACCCCGGAGACCATGACGGAGGTTCACCTACAAAATACAACAACCTAACGTAAGTAATTGAGTTATTTTTAGGGTTCCGTACCTAGAAAGGTAAAAAACGGAACACTTATAGGATCACTATGTTCTTAAGACCTTTTTTTAAATCAACATAAAATATAACACTATTTTATATACATGTAAAATATATTTCGTTCAGAGAAACGAACACTGTTAGCTGCGAGTTTTCGATAACGTTGCATCGCGGGTAAATTAAACCTAATTAAGTAACTAAGTTTCATAAAAAGAAAACTTGTGATCGAAACATTATTTTCAAACTTTCTAACATCTAATATGTTATAAAGTTAGCAATGCGCACTCATGGGTCTTTTTAATATGATTTTGTTTTTAATTAAAAGTAGTTTAACTAATATGTCTTGAAATCATTTAATATAAGCTGTAAGCTAATATTAGTACACAGTAGTCCAATGACAGGACCAAATCTACAACCAAATCGATAGTCATTCCAACCAGTAAGCTATTGGTAATATGAGTTTCATTAATACTTACCCGTCCATGCGGTATGCCGGTTGAAGTGTTAAATGCGGGTAACAACCTCCGGCCCAGGTCTTCAGCCAAAGCCAGGAGCTGCCCGTCGTACCAGCGCAATATGGGCACTTCGTTCCGTAACGCAGTCGCTAGCACGTGAGCGGACAACAAGCCCCTAAATAAATATGAACAAACAAACAAAATTAATAACAAATAAAATTAAATTTAGCTCACTAGCGCCCTCCTCACAAATCCAAATAAGTTTTTTTATGCAATTCAAATGTAAGTTTTACATATTTTTGACAAAACTGACTATGATAGCAGCGCCGCTCTCATCGGGCCAGATATCTTTGTTTGACTACAGTGTTCTATTTTGATCTGTCATGCTTACCAATAGTAGAAATATAATTTGTAGCCATAAAGCGTTGGAATGTTGAACGGAATATGTAATCCTTATCAAGTTATTGTAGGCACTGTTTGCATACTTATGCAAAATGTTTATCAGCTTGACAAATTGAAAAAAAAAAACTCCAGAGAAATAAAAATTAAAGTTAAATCAAATCTAAATCACTTTTGTTTACATACAACCAACCAAATTTATATCTTATCTTATCCAACATACTTTTTGTTCAAGTTTTTCTCACCAAATTTTTATTACTCACAATAACATTTATCATTATAAATCTGTACTAAGGTATACCTAAGTGTGTAAATTTTTACTTCCGCAGACAAAGTTATGATGATATAACATATAATAAAAATCTGACCCGAGCATCCGTATGTTGGTCTCGAAGACGGAGACAATGATGTCATGATCGAAGCTGACGTCACGCAGCACGAGCCGCACTGCGCGGTTGAACTCGGAGAAATCGCCCATCACCACCAACGTATCCAAACTGTCCACCAATGTCAGCGAGAAACTAAAGAAAAATAATATATTATAAACATTTTATACAGAAATAAATGCACTTTCTGTGCACTTGAGGTAAATAAATGGGATTTATTAATATGTATTATAAATGGAAAATTTAAGTTGATGGTTTAGGTGGAAGTCACAGGCATAAGCTAGTGAGAAATAAAAGTATTGGTAATTTTCGTAAATCAAAACATCAACTTACTTTCCAAGTACATCGTCCATATCCCCCCGGCTGGGTGTAACTCCTCGCCATCGACCCTTGCAGCTGAGCGGCATCAACTCATCCGCTGGGTATGCATTGTCCATGTAGGCATCATAAGCATGGTAGAACATGCTCCTTGCCTCCTCCCTACAATTGTGTACTGAATGAATATTTATCAATATTCTTACAATATACAAATATGAACAAAGATATTGTTAATGAAGATAATCAATCCCGACTAAAACGGGTTTGATATATATCACATTATTACTATCCGAAAGTGATGAGATGCATGAATAAATATATGAATGTGGAGATGAAGTGTTGTGTCACTTACAAAAGGAAATCTCTGCATACATCTAAGGATCATGGGCATGAGTTGTGTAATAATAGCTTTCTATTATTAACAATCATCAGAATTACAGCGTCACAAAATATAATACTTTTTAAACTTTTTAAGCATAAAAAGTAAACCAAAAAAATAATCTAAGATATTTAACTACAGTGCAATATATGAGTATTTATTATTATAAATGTGTTTAGATGCATAGTTGTTTGTATGAAAAACTCCAGAACTGACCTGCCTGAAAATTGGCACAGATGTAGAACATAGTCTGGAAGAACATATAGGCTACTTATTAAGTATTTTTTATTCCACACAGATGGAGACACGGGCGACAGCTATTATTTATATATAATTCTTAAGGTATTATTACATGTGTTATGTATAAATTAAAATTTCAGCAATTGGTAAAACAACATAATAAATGACTTAGCACAAGCACATGGCTTACTGATAATATCTTTTATACATAATAATTGTTGTCATAGCAAGATATAACACATTTGGCGATGTTTCCTTATCTTTGATCTGGATTATTCTTTGTCATTGACTGTTGTGATGTAATTTATTCCAGACTTCTTAATTCAGGTATAATAATTATTGATTTATAGAATTAATACACAATTAGTTAATGGATTTACAAAAATATTAAAACAGCTTATGAGTGTGTCATAAGCTTGTTTTTTTTTGTTCTACATAGTTTAACTGTCTTATAACTTTCATACAACAATTGCACTTCATCCTTTAAGAAATAGTTTTATTAGCTATAATCTTTTGGGTCCTTCTTTTCTCAAATATTAGATGTGTTGATAATTCTGATAAAGTGAACTCCAAAATCAACCAACCCGCACTGGGCCAGCGTGGTTGACTATGGCCTAGTCACCCCTAACTTATGGTACGCTCCGAGCCCCTCGGTGGGGACGTATAGTGAGCTGATGATGATGATGATGAACTCCAAAAGTTAAGCACAAAGAGCTTATATACCTAATAACTTAGCCATAAAACTTTGCAAACACAAAAAATGTGGATTCAGAAGCGAATACACAAATAAGATGCAGTTTTGAGAAAACAAAGTCACAATTGTAAGTTTGGCACATTTATGTCATGCCCTACTTTTATTTCATTCATGAAATATGTAATAACTAGGTAATTTGATTCTTGTAATATAACTTCCCTGCAAATTTACATTATTATAAGTGAATTATTGATTTAATATAGTAAAAAATACACTTCAAGAACTTTATATAATTTGAAACATTACCTTAGTTGAATCCTTTCTGTTCTTGTCATCTGTGAGGGAAGAGGTTCATCTTCAGTACTTACACAAACGAATGCTAAAATAAAAACTAACAGGACTGGGCAATATGCCATTACTATCACAATATTTTCATATGACTAGTATTCTTACAAGTAATAAAAATTAATAATGTCATAAGAGTAAACACAAATTTAATTATTAAAAATTCGTTTGGTTACAAATGACAAGTCCACATTGCTAAATTAATATGAACCGAATGAAAAGTTAGTCTTTTTCACTAAACTATATTTGAGTCCATTAGTATTTTCTAGATTTATTATTTCATCATCTACAATGGACGTGATATGAAGAGATTATAGCAAAGAGTATAATAAGTATACTATAGAGAATTTAAAAACAAGAACCATAGACAACTACTTAGTGTCCACGACACCAAGACATCGCAAAATTTAAAAACCATCTAGTTTGTTTATGGTACAGACGCTTGACAATAAATCAACATTCGATTTGATTCGATCCGAAAATTATCGTAATTGCCTTATTAAACACTTATGAAACACATTATGCATAAGAAATATTTGGCCACCCTCTAAATGATAGATGATTTTAGATTGCTATTGTGATGCAATCTTAATTTGCCGTTGGACCGTTGATAAACGTTTTAAGAAAAAAAATGAAGTGACTTTTTATTATAAATATTCAAATATATTCTAAGCAACTCTGTCCGGAAACCACGGCCAGACCATGATTCATGTCGATAATAAATTATATTTGACCACGTTAAAAACCTTATGTATTAAAACCTTTATATATTTATCATGAATCGGTTTTGGTCATTTCTTTCATTTCAAAATATGAACAACAATACGTTTTTGCACAAGTAGATATACTTCGGCGATGGAAACCCACGCATGCAAGTATAAGGAACCGTGGTGGCCTAGCAGGAATGTTCGCGACAATTGACTTCGTATCGTCGTCAACAAATTTGGTATAAATATTTGTGCAGCGCCCCTATCGGGTGTACGATATGATGGCGCGTGTCGCGAATGTTTGTGCTAGGTCCACTGTACCCAATCCATAGTTTTCGTTTTAGCTGGATAATGACTATCGACTTCGGTAGAGTACACCACTGGTGCCGTCACGTGACTATCCCAACGCCGCCATATTGCGATTGTGTTGTGGCGAGGGATCATGTCGCTAGGTCCCCGAGTTTTTTAATATTTATAAGTTTATAAACGTAAGTTCTCGGGACATACAGTGTATAAGTTTTTTGTTTTAGTTCCAAGGTTATATATGTATTGTCGAGACACTTTGTTTCTAAAATTGCGTGTTTTTACTCGTTGTGGGCTTTAATACCCGCTATCCATTGAAATAAGCTAGCTAGTAGTGAACGTGGAACGGGTAGCAGCCGAGGCTGTGGACAGCGCAGCACGGGCGGGACGGCTTGTTGTGTCTCAATCTCATTATTATTTCAATATACGGTTATACCAAAAAATATTACTGTATACAGATTAATTTAAACGAATTAAATTAGAAATACGCCGGTTTAGATTGTTTACTTTCACAAAAAGCAAACCAACATTTTTGAAAACGTTTTAACTTTCTGTATAAGTGATCGGTGCGTATAGCATTTATATGTTCTCATTAGTTTTCGTTGATAAACAATTATTTTAAATTTCTTGTTTTTATTTTCACCTATCAGGTGCGAAAGTTTATCGGGTGTTAACATTTTTGTTTTGATTTTTCGTACCTTTAAAATTATTTGCCGTTTAATTGAATTTGATAAGGACCTGACTATTTTCGAGATCTTAAAAAGTAAGCTTCAACACGTAGCTCTTCGAAGTCATACCATGGAACCGCCATTTTGGTTGGTTGTGCCATGTCCAGGAGGGAGCGGCGGCGGCGGGCGGGGAGGGTGTTAACTATAAAAAAATGTGACGTTAAAGTCACTTCGTGCAGAATTTCGAAGCCCCACTGGATTAAAAACATAACCTAAATTAGGGACTGTTGTTTTGACAGGTTTCACATGGAATGTAGTTTGATCACAAAATGAATGGGGGATTCAATGGCAGTATGGAGGAAGTAATAGACCTATCACCCATGACCCTTAAAGTCGAGGAGCTCATCATTGAAGACAATGAGCTGGACAACTGCAGTGAGACTAGCATCGGCATGGAGGTACACAATCAAGAGCACATTATTGAAGATATCACAAACGAAGATACATTGACTTGCGATACAGAAAATGATAGCGACAATAGTTATAAATTATGTGATGTAAAGATACTAAGTACAGAAGAAGGAGAGGATTCTCAAAGTGAGGGTACCATGGGAATTCAATATATCAATAGCACTGATGCAAGTCCTGCAGCTCTAGATACAATCTCCATCAGATCTGCTGATATAGAAATTGATGATAACAGTGAAATCGAGGAATTGAACAAGGTAAGTTAAACTGATGCGGCAGTTGATAAACTTAAAATAAGATCCTGCATAATGTTATTGTGTTGAATATTTGAAATTAAAGTAAGTTACAATTTTTATTTATCATTCCATCTTTGGGTCTGTATGTAGGTCTGAGAAATTAATTTAAGACAAAAAGACTAAATCCTTGATTTTCAACAAAAAAGTTTTTTAATTTTGATAAATACTTAACTCCTACAGCTTATAATATTTATTTTAACTTTTTGAGGTGCTTTATAACTTTAAAATAAAAAAAAACAAAACCTTTATTCTGTCTATACTATATTTGTATATTTTTAGGAAACACATAACAATAACCAATCTGAAATAGTGTTATTAGACGATGATGTTATTACAGTGTCAACAGAAGATAACTCTGAAGATATTATAGCTTTGGATGATGATGATTCCTTTAAGGAAAATGATACAAATATAGATAATAATGACGTACAATTAATAGAAGAAAATGAAGATGATAAAAATGGTGAGAAACCTGAGTACCTTATTCTTGAAGGGGAAAATGGGAAATTGCAGAGTGCAGAGGTTATCATAGAAAACAACATAAAAATTCCAGTCCCAGAGGAAACAGTACCGTTACGTAGGAGCAGCAGAACTATAAAAAGAAAGCAATATGGTGATAATTTCGTGACTGGTAATGATGCATCCAAAAAGGTTAAGCATACAGAAGAAGATTTAACTCACAACTTTCTTCCAGTTGTTAGTGACCCCAAATCATTAGTACCCGAGGCCAACCAAAAGAAGGAAACAACCAATAATAGTAATTCATTGAAACAGAGCACACAACAGATTCTGCCTTCACTTTCAGATGATATGTTTGTTGTTGAAGCACCATCATTCATTGTACCATATGTTTATGAGAAACCTTCATTTGAGCCTTTCAGAGATTTTCTTGAATGGTTCGGTAAATTTGTGGAGGAAGAGAAATCCATGGAAGAAAATAGTGGTGTATATACAGAGAGAGTTGAAGTAAACAAAGGTGGGAAGACTAAAGTAAAAAAAAAAGCTGATAAAGCTAAGAAAGAGGCTGACAAAGAAGAATTAAAAGTTAAAGATGCAGTAAAAGAACATAAAGAAGAGAAAAAGAAAAGCAAAGAGGGAAAGGAAGGTAAGAAAGTTGTCATTGAACTTAACCATCTTAGTGCCATACATTTGTTCGCAATATATGTGAAAAATTAGCCTCTTTTTTGTGAAATTTTCGAATAAGAGAAATAATGTGTAACTTTTGTAAAAATGTTTCAATTTTCAAAATTTTTTCAAATTGTAAAACAATCTACTCGTCTGACGGATACGACTGCCGCTTTCGGAACTCAAAAACACACTGACGCGTGAGTCGCTACAGCGCATCCGCCGCTTTTAGATAAAACACACAGGCGCGGATCGCGCGTTTTGGCACTAAGACTGTTAATGGCTTATATTCAATGATATGTTCAAATGTTTTTTGCTAATATATTTTCATTGTATAATGTAAGTTTTCTGAAATAGGTTAATATTTTATTTATTTTAGCTGAAAAAAAGAAGAGAGGAAATGATGATGATGCATCTTGGGGTGGGGAAATCCTCTTGGAGTCTGACGATGAAGTGGGCAGCAATAATGAGGAAAAAACAGTGGTGATCAAAGAAAAAGCAGATTTAAGTGATGAATTGAAAGATGTGGACAAGGTGGTTTGTGAAAAGGCTGATAACTATTTTGACTGTTCCCTCGGTAAGTTCTTTATGAATATTGGTCTAAACCTGGTCCAAGAATTTGTACAAAATGATTTGCTCAAGCAACAAAAGAGAAAGCTCTCCAGAGAGAAAAGAGCGGGTCATAAAACAAGGGCCACAGAAACTTCAATTGCATCGCTAATGAAAAACTTAGAGATTAGCCAAGCAAAGAACAGTCCATTTAGATATAAACAAAACAAGTGTGAATTTTGTACTTTTAAATCTGACTCAATGTTAGTAATGCTGCATCACTTGGAGACCCCACATATGAAAAATAGTATGTATAAATGTAACTATTGCACATTTGAGATACGAAGTCCCCATGACATACTGTATCACATGGAGGCGGAACACAATGTGCACGGCAAGCTGGAAAGGGCTCCCGCACATCACCAGTGTGCCAACTGTCCCTTTGAGGACAATGGCAAGGGCAAACTGGCCCGACATCTCATGCCTTGCTCAAGGAAGTTTAAACCAGAAACCAATTTGGCACCACCTAGTGAATGGGAGCCACCAGCTAAAATACCAAAGGTAATTTCTTATATAATACAATAGTTGTTATTTAGTAAGTTTCTATTTGCTGGTTAGTAGGATAATTAATACCTTTGAGCTATTGATGTAATATTCAATAACAAAAAAATCTTGTCTAAATAGTTAACACGGTCACGCAACAACATGATGGGTATATACCATACATCGTTTAACCGTGGCGGAACGGGTGCGGCGGGGCGCGGGCGCAGCCCCGTGCTGCCCGCGCCCGACCTCCGCGGCGGCGCTATGATACGTCAGAGCACACCAGCACTGCTACCCACAAACTTTGCTGCGGTGAGTTTTATATAATAAGTGAATGTCAATCATCACTCATCCATTACTTTGTTTTATTTATCACTTTTTAGAGTTATACAGAATGTATCAAGATGAACAAAAAATTGTTGTATTTTTGTGAATACACAGCTTTGGTAAATGTTATCTTTATTGAGTCAACTACTAACAAGGGTATTGAAGATGCATGACTTCCTACAGAATCAGATTGCATTATGCCAGACCTAATTTACCCAAACTGGTGAATAGCAGCAGTACTAATGTGCGATTTGTTTGCTATTCACCTCATTGGGCAATGCAGTCGGCAAACAATCATCCCATGATCAGAGGACATCACTGCCATGCTGACATTGCAAACTTTACACATGCAACATGTGCTACTTGATATCATTATAAACTATGTACTATGTTAAACATTCCACTATTTATTTCTACAGATAAATAATTTTACAAATACATTGTATTTTTTTTTCTAAAGAAAATGTGAAGGATAACAATATTATGTGTTTAGGCATTGCTTAGTTATACTTTGTTTGTAATTGTGTATCTGAGTTTATAATACATACATAAAAACGTTAAACTTTCATAGAAAAAAAGTTAAATTTGTCTTGTAGTTTAAGTTTATTGATGGAAATAATGTATAATTTACTAATTAGTTATTATTTATTTTTATAATTATTTACTTCAGTTAATTTGTATTTATTATCTTACCATAGTTTTTTTTTTGTAAAATAAAATATTTTCATAATCTGTTTCGAATGTGTAAAGAAGTTTCCAAGTATACAAAAGTGTGCACCCTTTAGCATTCAGCAAACCAAACTAAGCTTTTTAAAAAGCAATTTCATACATTTGCCCGAACTTTGACATGGCGACATCTAAAATTTGATTTTTAAAATCAATGTCTAAATGTGTATCTATATTATTTAAATTAATTATTTATATAAAACTAGCCGTGCCTATATATTCTACACCTTTGCGAAATTTCAGCAAAGTCCATGCAGCCTTTCTTTCTAGAGATGCCTTCTAACAAATATCCGTTTGTATTGATATACAAATATTTGCATATATAATATTACGAAGACTATTTCTTTATATATAATATATTCAGTACAATATATATGTATGTAATGAAAATATTTTCTTCTCTCTTATCTATAATATAGTTTAAAGTTCACGGCCAAGTAAATGCATTTAAATAAATATAACAATTAATTGTATTACAGTGCAATGTTATTTTTAACATTTGTCAAAAATATTCTACAAGCAAATTGAAATGTGTTTAAGCTTTTTAGATATTTGATTTTTTTTACAAGGTTGCTGTTTGATCTTTTAAATACTACAACAATAATACAACTTAACAATGAAATAAAAATATGTACAAAATGTTGTAACAAGCAAGTTATGTAACATGTTGTTGAAATGTATTGTTTCTTGCTAATAGAAAATATTGCTTACTATGTTATTTATGGCATTTCTTATAACAATGATATTTTATGTTTATTTGTAATTAATCAAGATAAATATGGTAATATTATCATATCCTAATATATTACTATAACATAAAAAAAAAATTGAAATTAATTTATTTTTAATACTGTTCAAATGTTTGCATATCCACTTTTCATTTTATAGGCAATGTTCTCTTTATTTTTGTCAATGGTGAACAATCAAATCCGAAAAATCGATCTTAAACCATTTTTTATTAATTACTATAACATTCAACCATTTGTTTTAAACTTAACCGATCTAAGGGGTACTTAGTAGCAATCAAAAGACTTAACCATTTTTGTAACTATCCTGTAGAAAGTAATTACATATCTCTCAATCAATAATAATGATGGATTATTGGATTGAGCTGTAAATAAACAAATAGCAGTGTACTCCTCCACTTATGTTGGTTACCAAATTTTCAGAATAACAACGGTGGTAAATGTATGCAGCAGCCATCAATATCTATAACTCCGCTGCCGCGCCAGCCGCTACCAGAACAACCACAGCCCGCGCACCAGAACAAGGGCTCCTTCGTCGTCTGCGAGATCTGCGATGGCTACATAAAAGACCTGGAGCAGCTCCGCAACCACATGCAGTGGATACACAAAGTCAAGATACATCCCAAGATGATATACAATAGGCCACCGTTGAACTGTCAAAAGTGTCATTGTAGGTGAGTAAGATATTGTTTTATCTCTTTAAACTAGTAAGATTTCGTTTATTTTTCTACAGTTTGCACATTGACTATGTCTAATAATAATAATTGTTTCAGGTTCTTTACAGATCAAGGTCTTGAGCGACATCTTTTGGGGTCACACGGTCTTGTCACCAGCTCCATGCAGGAGGCCGCCAACAATGGGAAAGACGCCGGAAGATGCCCAGTGTGTGGACGGGTAAGTATTATACTTTCCTTAAACATTATGGCCCATATAGTACAGACTATCAGTATTTTTAAATCATAGAAATTCAGTTTGATTTGAGCTTATTATCCATGCAACAATGATTATTTAAATATTGTAAAATTTCAGGTGTACCAATGGAAGTTGCTCAACCATGTTGCTGGGGATCACAACCTGGCATTAAAGCCAGCACATTTATCCTACAAGTGTACTGTTTGCACAGCCACTTTTGGCATGTACAAGCAATTCGAGAGTCACGTGTACTCGGCACACAGTGTGGTCGCCAAGCGTATCATGGACAAAAGCAAAATACCCCCCACCAAGCCCACCAATGACACATTGCTCAAGCCGCTCAAAATCGATGATGACATTTCTATCATACCACAGTCTACTAAACCCGCCACCGCTGCTAAACAAAAATAAGGTAACTTTGGAACTCTATTCATATGCTCACGAAGATATGATTGGTTTATTTATCTCTTGAATGCTTCGCTATAATACTTTCCTTGCCGCAGTGTTGTTATTTTATAACAATAATATTTTTCTATATCTAATATTATGATAACGTTTCAGTTACAATCAATGTTATTGTAGCGAAATAAAGCTCAAGTAAAGAGTCATTATATGGTTACCTTTTTAAAGAGAATATTTTGTTAAAAACTATTATAATTTTATATATCATAAGTTAAAAGCTTGTGCGCGAATAGAGCAGAATATAACTGCTTTCTTAATTTGTTAGTAGTTGTGGCTCGCGACACCGTCCGCGTGTTAAAAACCTAATTAGTTGCCTATGCGTTCCTCCAGACTATGTTCTACATCTACACCAAATATCATTGATATCCATGCAGTCTTTTTGGAGATACCTATTAACAAAAACCCATACATTTACCGATCCATTCAAACATTCCCATTTATGATATTAGTAAGAAATGAGATTACTCAGGTAATTGTTTTCTTCTTTTCAAATATTTTTTTATGTATTATTAATTGCTATGATACTTTTATAAAGTGTATAATTATCTTTTTTTTTTCTAAGTATACAACAACATTGATGTTTTTAGGTTCTGGTAATCAATGATTATGTTTTTTTAACTTATTTGAAGCGACAATTTATTGTTTAAGCGTCCTAATTAACATCTAACAATAATCAGTTTTAAATAGATTTTCTACAATCTAACATTTAGTATATAAAGAGCTAAAAAGTTTGCTTTATAACTTATTATTAGAAGTTTTTACTTACATATCCTAACAAGTAACATGGAAATATAATATTTACAAGCAGCACTGATTGCAATGCGAATGCCAAAAAAACAATTTTTGTTAACAATGCTATAAAAATATTTACTCGACTTATAAGAGAGTACTACCATGAGCATGAAATATCTATATTACTACGTGAAGCGAAAACTTTGACTCCTATTTTAATCGTGCAAACAGATTAACGAAAATTGACAGTGAAAACTAATGTGGAGAAAAAGAGCATGGGGTCTATCACGAATATTTGCGATATACGTTTTCGTAACGTCTTTGACAAAATATATTAAAGTTGTATAACTTTGTAGTTGACCCGAATGTTTTCTAGAGGTATCTAAAAAATATTCTTTGCATATAATTTTGTTCGAATTTCGAGTAATTAGCTATCACTAGTAATAATTAAACGATTCTATTTAAAGAGAAACTGTTTACTTCTTGTGGTCATTAAAATTACTTATTGCTGGCGACAGGAGATAACGCAATTTTCTTAATAACATTGTGGCTGATATATAATAATAATAATTATACTATTTTTGCAAAGCATTATGTTACATTTCATTGTTTTCTGGGCAGTTTTTTTTATAATTTCTTTGAATGTAATATTAAGTAACGCATATAGCATCCAATTTTATTTCTATTTAATTTATATTAAAATGTTATGTATTTTTATTTTCATATGTTTTTAGAGTAGCGATTTATATATATTTTTAAAAGTATTATTCACCGCAAATTTAAATATATATTGCGCTGTGCTTCCATTCAGTTTGTGTGATTTGATGTGTTGTTTCAGGATTAGCGGTGGTGCGTCCTCGCAGCCGGCGGGGCACGAGTAGGGTACATTCCCAAATTGTTTGTTCTCTCTAATAGAACTATATTTTAAATCAAAAAGTATCATAAAGTAAGACATTACTATTAATCATCCAAATCTCAAACCAATATTATATAATGCAATGGATTTAAATTTATACAATTGTGTTCACATTTACAACTTTTTTTTTATTGACACTATGATTTTATTATTATTTTAACAATGGTGTTAATTTCGTATTCAAATTTATAATTTTTGTCATAATTTTTCGTCCAGTCAACTATACAATATGTTGCGTCCATTGAAGCTATATGTGATTTTGCTATTAATTTGTTTCAAATAGAAATAGGCTAATTTCATTGGAATTTTATGTTTTTTATTTTTTAAAATGAATGAAATGATTTGAATAAACACAATAGTGTCGATTCAGAAAAATGGAAAACATTTATATGCTTATTATAAAAATCTTGTATCATACAATTTACTATAATCATATACACATTTGCTTATTTTTCTATCTACAAACATTTCTCAATCTATTCGTGAAATCGAATATCTACAATATTTCCAAATATTTAAGAACAATGATTGAAATCGTAGTATTGAAAACTAAAGAATTCGTGGTATATTTGATTAATGCACGTAAAAAAAAAATTATATGTGACATAAAAATCGTTGTCACTGATACATCGACAAAGATATTTGACCAGGTAGGCATAAATCAAACTAAATTATGACAGCTCACTAGCGCCACTATGTCAATGTCAAAACGTGATGTTTTTTTGTACTGTAGCTGTCATGTTTTTTTTTTCTATCAAGTAGGTTCACATGTTATGTGACAAATATACACGATAGCAGCATGACAACAGTATATGCACTAAATGTACTGTTTTATATACATGATGGTTACTCATGATAATACTATATATAAACGTGAATATTATTGTGGGATTCCACTGTCAATAGTTTTTTTAAACATATAGTGATCACTGTTTTGTGAAAGGGAGTAAGAGGGATAACTGCATGTTTTTGTACAAGTATTTCGGGAATGTAATCCCACGGTTAAAAGTTAGTGATATCACATATATGACAAAGAATTTTGATATGACAAAGAAATCGTGTTATTGATAATCGACTTGCTAATGTATAACATAGAAGTTAACGAAGGCATTCAATGCTGTAATATATTGGAAATTGTGACAAAATTTATCGGCTAAAATTAATTGTACTGCTTTTTGCATACATTAAAAGATTTTTTTTGTTAATATGTTAAAGTGAAATGTCCTAATTAAGTATTGGTATTTAAAAATTAGTGTAGTTACTAATGTAACGATGTTTCCCATTCATAGGTCGAACGGTCCAATGGGATACTCTTAAAATAATACTTTATTTATAGTAACAACTATAAATAAAGGAATATAGAATAAAATTCGGACATGAAATATTCCACTGCCGTAAAGTCTTATGATTAATTAAATGTTTGATGACTGCCATTGCAAATAGTGCAAATATTGCATAAAAACAATATCTCATTATTGCAATAAATGTCAAACATATATGTTTTGGTACTGAATGTCTAGCGCTTATCGGTTTATATTTTCGGAATTGATATGTACAAAATATTTGTTATACTATTTTCTTCATTTTCAGTATAATTTGGGATAAGATTGATCTTAATAATATTATATGAATAATTTATAATAGCGTAGTGTGTGATTTTTGTGAGATATCGACCTTGTTAACGACCCGACCGTCTAAAGGGAATTTTCCATACAACATAGTCTAAGCTGCCATCATACACAGTGGAAATGTTCCCTTATTAGAAACTTGAATGCATAGACAATATTGATGTTTAACAAGAAAAAAGTAGTTTTTTATGTGAATGTACAAATACGAAATTAAATAGCAATGTTGTCCTAATGTCAAATTATTAGATGTACATGTCATGTGTCATTTTTGCATATCCATTATACATTTCATGTAATGCAATAACTGTAAGTAATTTTCCCAGTTTTTATAACATTTAAAAGACTTCACTTTTGAAGACTGAAATAGTGCCTGAATGCAACCCACATAAAAATACTGATTGAATATGCACAAATTTTAAAAACATATTTGTCGTTGTTAATTGGGAAAGTAATCCAAAATCCAATACACTAAAGTACACTAGAAATAGATATAAAGTAACATTCATCAATCGTATCCCATTTCTGTAAATTTGTTTTTTTGTCCCCGATAACGAAAGCTTTTGTTGAATTTTCTAAGATATATGCCACACGAGTAAATGCGGTGTCGCAATACATTCACGGTTAATATTAATTTAGCTTAGACAGCAGAGTAAAACAATAATATCAAGCTGCGTTTTGTCGTAGTACTTAGTGTGACAGTGTGACACACTAAAAACATATCTTGTGGCGTTTGTTTTACAACGAAATATGTCTTACTGGTATATTAGTGTGTCGTGTAAATGTCTAAAGCCTTGATGGTAATTGTATGGGCCAAAGAACAGTATGTGATTTGTACTTCTTGCGGAGAATGACTAACTGAATGTGCTAACGATATGCCCACTTTGACAATAAAGTCGGTGGTGTGTTCGTGTTAAAAGGAATATGTCTCGAAAGGTCGTGATAATCATGATTTGATGTAAGCATTGATAACTGTAAATGTGCGCAATCTAGATTATTCTATCGTGTGAAAATATCCACGTTAGAGTTTAGATATTACCTGCAGGTAAAATTATAGATTCGAGTTTTTTTTTTTAGCTTTGTTTAAATGCTATTTATTATTAGATACGATGCGATAATTGTATATAGGGCTGATTGTTACGTTCACCGTAACCTGGTTACCGCGCTACTAGATGCGACAATGTTTTATAAAATAATAGAGTAACGGAACGTATCCGTTTACTGTCTACCTCAGACAACCGTCGCAGTGATGCGATTATACTAAAGCACTTTATATTTGCGGGTGATACTGGCATAAGGGACGCAGGAAAAGATGACCTTTTGCTACTTCGGTTTACTACTTTAGTTTTTGATTACGTCATATAACCGTAAATTTAAAAAGAAGTTAACACTATTGCCATCTCATTTTAAATTAGAGAATGAAAGATATTTATAGAATTCATGAAAATCTCAAACCTAAAAGCTTTTTCTTAACTCATGTCTATCAACTAAAAGGTCCTCTTTTCAGCAAACCTCTATTGCCTTCAATACCTTTATGAATTTATGAAAATAAAAATATGTTTTACATTTTTGTAAGATTTTCATAAAAATTGTAATGTGCTCAGATTTAATATAATTAGTATATAAATCTTACATATAGAGTTGTAGTAGAATATGTTTGCGTCAGTTTGTGTGTTTTTATGTTTGAATATTATTGCAGGTTTTGTGTTCAATTTCTTTATCCGTACTAAATATTTCTTATATTGAATTTAGTTTTGTATTACATTCAATTACGAATATTTCAAAATGTTTTTTTTTTACATTTATGTTTCACTATAATAAATAATAATAAGTACTCATCTTAATGTATTATGTATTAGATTTAATTATATTTTTCAATGTATTATATATAAATCCACAAAATATCTTAACAAAATTATCGGAACTGATTGAAATTATGTTTTATATATCTCGTCCATTTTTTTTTTATTTTGTAATATCAAAGTGACTGAAGTAAAAGCATATTTGTGTTCGTTTTCATTGCCGTAATAATTTTATAATAATTTTCTTGTCTCTTTAAATAGAATGAGATAACGCAAGTGTTGCGACAATGAAAACCCACGGTTTGAATGAAATTTTAACAAATATGTGTATGTCAATAAGTAATTGTATTTCGTATTGTAGTTGATTTTTAATACAGTAGTTTTAATAAACATTATGGCGTATTTGATAATAGGTACTTTACAATAAGTGATTAACTCAATGCGTCTCGCTCGAAACATTGATGAACAATGTAATACGAATCTTATTTATGAGTTTATTCATAATGAATTTATCTTAGGCTAGTCGGATGTGAACCGGTAAATTAAAATATAAAATACAACGATATTTCAAAGACTATCTGGAGAAATTAATTAAGTCGGCGATGTAGAAGGTTCGTCTAGTTATGCTTTTAAATGTCTGTAAGAATAATAACTGAGGATTTCCACTGACACTCTTTTACAGAACATATTCTCGTCTCACTCGTTCTCTTTGAAAAAAAGAGAGATGTCAAATGTTGTGGAAACCGTTAACACAGATATCAACACTGAGATAGGGACGTTTAAATGGGTGTCTATAATAATTATAGCCAAAACTCTATAGTGAAGAAATTAATTTTATATGCACATATCAGATCGAATTAAGCGTCGGTGGCTAATGTTTAAGCACTTTTAATCAGGTCTTGGGTTCGATCCCCGCCGTGTACCGATGTGTTTTTCGATTTATATGTACATTTAATCTGACATTCTTACGATGAAGGAAAATCGTGATCGTTCTGCACATATCTGCGAAGATATTCTAAGATGTGTGTGAAGTCAACACGCACTGTGTCATCGTGATTATGGCCTAGTAACCACTGACTTCGGGTAGGTTTCGAGAAGCTCAGTGGGAACTGATGATTATAATATTTTTTATTCTTCATCGTCCTTTCAAATCTGTATTAAAGTATTCAAACTTTGTTCGTGGAAGGGTGTCTACGTAAAGTTATGCCCTGCCTGTGCATCCCATTACGTACCCCAACATCTACATCTTGAAACCGCCGTAAAGTTTGGATAGTAAAATACCATGTAAATGATATGTAAAAGGTTCAAGGCGCGAACATGACAATAGTAATTCCGGACAAGTTGTAACACTCGTGAAATGATAATTCATTAATATAATAGTTGTGAAATGATTAGATCATTCCATTAGTAAAAGTATTTTTATAACGTCAACATTGACCACCAAATAATATAGAGAATCCACTGAAAACGCTTTACATATATTTATAAAAGGTCATTGTTGCGTTACTAAATATATGTTCACACCTTTAACCAATGTCTACAATGTGGCGCAGATGCGTTCTCTGTTTAGATAAATCTCCGGAACATTTGGACTTAGTTTTCGTGATATCTGTGGATGTTGCGAATGTCTGTAGGAGGGATAAGATACGCGAGACTAGTTAACTGTGGGTATCCACTGCCGTGACACTCGTTTTGAAACATGTTGTCTTTGTT